GTGTGCTTTCATGTGAAGCAGTGTTTGTCATTAATTCAACATAATTCAGATAATGAATGTCTCCATCCCTTTGTGTGATGATTATGATGCAATGGTGTTCTGCTATAAAAGAAAAAACCCACTACATGTTACAAACACTGTTGCTATTGAAATAATATCTAATGAAAAACTGTGTGGTAAATGAAATAAGAATTAGGTTCTCCTAAACTGAGGCACACATTTTTATTGTTCAGTAAAAGGTGTCTTATCCCATTCAGGTGAGGGGAAAACAGCTACCACAGAGAGGATTAAATGGTTTAGAGGCTCATTATTAATGAATGAGATTAGGAAATACTGCGATCAGACATTTGGGCAAAATAAGCCCTCAAAGAGGTGCTAACTACTGTTAAATGAGTGTACTGTAAACAGAACCACGATTGTTTCTTTAAACCTAATCAGCTAGTTTTGTTGTTGCATGGCCTGAAAGTAAAACCAGAGAACTACATCTCCCAGCTAGCACGGCTGGTGAACGTGCTTTAGAAAACTGATGGGCAAAAAGAGATCACCTGGGGTACGCTAATGGTTATGGTGTGCATCTGACGCCTAAAAGCACTCAAAAAAATCAATGAGTGAACAAATGTACGACTGATATGATGTGCAGATGTACTGTAATAATGGTACAGAAGCAAGGACACTGTGCTCTGTTTATCAGGAACTCTTCGTGTAAGTCATCTGTCTGCAAACATGTCTCTGTTCGCTGTGTAATCCTCCACAGTTTCCTGTTGCTTTCTTTTCCAAATAATTATCAGAAACTGAACATAGGATCCATTTTTGAGAAATTATTACTCCAGTGAAGAAGCAGCAGGACATGCTGGCATTTTTCGGTCAGTGCAGTACTAAACAAAAAGGATGCATGACAGAACAAGCATTATAAGAAAGAATGCAAACATCTGTTTACATCTGTTATGAGATCGTACACATAAAACAGGAAACCGTGCTGCAGGTAAAGTTAAAACAACTGAGAGCACTGGTATACTATGAAGCTCTACAAAAATGCATATTGGGCTTCCTAAACCTAACATCTAACAGTGGAAGGTGGAGGACATGCTTTCCTCCACCCTCACCACTTGATTTTAACTCATACTCGTCTACCTTATTTATTTCACCTCTGTAGCTCCACCCATGTAACTGTCGCCAGAGAAAAGTGGAAATTTCCAGTAATTCCTGCTGCTTTGCAAGTAATGCTCCTCCTCCTTCTAGTTTCCCGCCTTTCACTCTACCTGCTCTTTACTGCTTCACGCTGGCCTCGAGACCTCATGGCTCTGTTGCTCAACCTTGCGGGGCCCGGCAGTTTAAAAATTTTTTTCTTTGCACACTGAACAACTTGGCGATTTCTTGCACAGATTTTGTTTTATACTTCTAGTGTAACCTGCATCCAATACAATGCTTTACATTATCATTATAGATGCCTCATGTTTCTCTAAAGATGTCAAAGATTAGAATGGTTAATCTCCTTTTTATTCTGAGGGATTAGCAGATTAGCAGTTGAAAAATCCCTTTTCAAAGGTGCTGTTTGCACTTATCTTTCCGTGAGAGCTTGCCCCACTGTTTCTTGGTTTACTCTTCTGAAAACAAAGTATCTTATTGTCTCTATATTACTGGCAAAAACCGTCTGTAACTATTACATTGGCTCTTGAGTGATGAACACGGGGTAGTTTGGGATCACAGAGCAGATGGTAGATTTGCATTTCTATTTCTTTGGCTGATCTGATATTCTGATGTCTGGTTTGTCTCAGAGATCCTCCAAAAGCAAGCACGACTAAAACTGACACGTCATTTAAGATTCATCGAATGTGAGGAGCACTATGGTGATTACATAGAGGACCTCGGTGTAGTGTAGTTACGGCAAACGAGATCATAACGGCTCACGTGTTCGCAGACTGGGATGTCCATGCTATCTCTAAGCTACATGTGTGGTTTTATGACTTCCTCTTTATTAAAGAACACAATATAACAGTTTACATGATGATGTGTGCTAGAAAATCAGCTCGGACGAACTGCAAATAAACCCACGAGACAGCTGGAGTGAAGAAGTTTTGAGTATGTGGATGGCAAGAGGCACACTGACCTTAGACCCATTGTGAAGCACCAACAAAGAGCCATCTGCACGGCAACCAAAGCTGAGATGAGGGACTTGCACACAGGGGGACAGGAAGG